CTTCTGCCCCTTAGAGGGGGGCTTCTTTATCTGCGTTCTACAAGACTTCAGTTGTTACGGCTCTTTGCTCCTCTGCTGTGAAGCAGTTCAATCTCTGGATACAGCTAGAGTTGAAGGAACTGCAAGGGTCAGCGTTGCATGGAATTGTCTTTTATTTGGAGGAAGGTGGTGATATTTCACTCCTCTTTTTGTGACATGGCCCAGCCAAGTTTGCTGCTAACGCTCCATAGGAATGGTCAGCCACCCTGAGGTGGGACCAGGTCTTCAGCAGCCACATGTGCTGCTTTTTATTGCTGTGTTTTGGAGCAGCTGCCACACGTGCTGCTGGCCCTTTCGCATGATGAGGTTGGATGAGGATTTTTTAAAACTCTGGGCAGTAATGCATGTTTGTGCTGTCACCAGAAATGTTGACTGGAACGGACAGAGGTGACCATTATGGTTGGCACTTCTGATTGTGCCAAAGGATTAGCTTCAAAAAGAGGACGTCCTAAGCTAGCCAGTGATGAAATGCAGAGGGGAGGGGACTCAGATCCTTAAAGGGACTTAGGTGCCTAACGCTCATTGATCTGGGTGCTAGGTTCTTGACTGATATTTCAGAGAGAGGCGCGTATCTCCACTCAGGATTCTTAGCCCTGAACCGTCTCCTGGAGTTAGGTGCTGAAGGCAATTCAGCCCGTTCTTATGAAAAAAGCAGAAGAGCAAGACCCCTGATTCTAGCCAATAGCCCAGTGGTTAGGGCACTCGCCTGGGATGTGTGAGATCTGTTCTCAGATCCCTCCACTGGCTGATGTGGAGCAGAGACTTGAACACAGGTCTTCCCCCTTCCAGGTGAGTGCCCTCGCCACTAGGTTATTGGGTAGCGTAGGGCGAAGAATCTCTCTTGGTGGAGGTGTTCCACTTTGTATAAATAATTACATAATCATTGGGCCTGGAACAGTGAGAGTGGCTCTCTAGCACAGTGTTTAAGGCACTCACCCGGAAGTCCCTGCTCCAATAATTTATTTATACAAAGCAAACAGCTTCAACAGGAGAGACGCCCACCCCAGAATATCCAGTAGCCAGGTGGCTCAGGCATTCCCCTGGGAGGTAGGAGAGCTGGTCCAAGTCAGGCTGAGTGGGGTTTCAAACCTGTATCTCTCACATCACACACCACTGCCGGCCAAGCTCCCAGATTCCCAACCTGCTCACCCCTGGCTGTCTTTTGTGTGGTTTAGGTGTGTTCAGTCTCAGCACAACTACCAGATTGGGCCAGACAGGGAAGAGAGGTGGGGGAACTGCCTTGTTTTGAGAATCCTGCCAGGGCTTAGGTGTGAGCGAGGGCTCCAAGTGGCATCAGGACTTAGGTAGCTTTGTGTATGCCGACTGGCAAAAACTGAGGTGCCTATGGGTATTTAGGCACCCACAGGGCTAGGCGGCAGCTGAGCGGTGGTTTTATGAATGTCAGCAGTGACTAAGCCCCTTTGTGAATCTAGCCCTAAGTGACTTAAGAGCACAAGTCATTTAGGCACACCATAAAGATTATAGGGTGGGATTTTCAAATTTTGTCAACTGAAAGTAATTGATGTTACTGTGGCATTTGTGCTACACTATGTTAATTATAAGCAATACAGTAACAATGTTTCTTGCTTGCATAGCAAATAAAAATTTCACTGACAACTGCTGTAGCTTTGGGTAATTCATGCCCTCTTCCTTACTCTAATGGATGCAATATAAATGTTACACCAAATTTTTTTCATTGTTCGGGATAGCAAATGTACAATGCAGATAGCATATTGTTACCCTCCAAACTAAATGAAATACTGTAAATTAATTCTGAGCAATGGTTTGGAAAAGGGAATTGAAAAGAAATGACTTAACAATTAAGAGTCACTACAGCACTAATTATTTCCATTTCTTGGCATCTGAACAGCGCAAGAATGGTGTATCATAGAATATCAGGGTTGGAAGGGACCTCAGGAGGTCATCTAGTCCAACCCCCTGCTCAAAGCAGGACCAATCCCCAACTAAATCATCCCAGCCAGGGCTTCGTCAAGCCTGACCTTAAAAACCTCTAAGAAAGGAGATTCCACCACCGCCCTAGGTAACCCATTCCAATGCTTTACCACCCTCCTAGTGAAATTTTTTTTCCTAACATTCAACCTAAACCTCTCCCACTGCAACTTGAGACCGTTACTCCTTGTTCTGTCATCTGGTACCACTGAGAACAGCGGTACATATAGCTAGATGGCTATATATATATATGTAACAGTGGTAACATATAGCTAGATGGACAAATGACTGATGACAAACCACTTCAAAACTGGACTAAATGAGTGCTGATTCAGTAGCTTTTACTGATTGGGGCTTGCACACTGTGAACCAAACAATTTCTTCTGTTCATAATCAAGGGGTGTATTATCATTTGCTGATGCCAGTTTAGAGACAGATATAGCACTGCACTTTGTCAGAACAGTTCTGCCACTACCCACAAGCGCTACAGTCCAAATATCTCTTAAACCCCAAAAAACTTCAGGCAAGACAAAAATAACAACAGCAACCAATGATGCTTCACACAAATCTCCTGTTGTGGCCTTGAAAACTTCCTTTCTGCAATCATTCGCACTGCGAGAGGCAGAGAATAGTAACAGAGAGAAAGAGGAATTATTGGAGAGTATAGATCACTTCTTCAAATGTTGGGGTATGACTGAGTATTGCAGAAATGCATGGCTCCCTTGTCAGCCCAGATTTGTGAAGGAGTGGCTGTCAAAGTGAACGTGATATGATTGACATAATTTTTTAGGAGCTAGCTCCACCCACCACCTCTCTGTGTGATGAGGATGTTACGCCTCCTACTTATCTTGCTGAATCGGCCAAATGGCTGACTACTTACTGGAAAAGTCAGACTGAGGATGGGTGACTTTTGTGGGAAGAGAAAGGTAAATAAAAATGAAAGTGTGTCATGAAGAGAGGCTGAGGAGCAGTGATATGTGGCTTTGAAGAACTGGAGAAGGAGAAAATGTGAGAGGAACAGATACGACATCAAATAAAATTCTTATAATTAAAACATTGGCTCAGTTGTTGAGAGGAGAACCAATGTATCTTCTCTCCCGATGCACCAAACAGCATGGAAAAGTTTTGTTTCCCCTCTGTGGTTCAGGGGAAGGATGCCACCATCTCAGTGTTTGGGAACCTGTGTGCTCAATTGCTAAACAGATTGGCCTGAGAAGGTCTGAGAAGAGAACATATCAAGATCTAAAATGATATTCCAATCTCCTTGATCTGTTGCCTTACACATAGCAGCGCTCATATTATAAATGCAGCCCTCTAGCTGGATCCAGTGCATAGAGATATTTCTTGTTTTTCAACTGGTCTGCCACAGAACTGCAGTACTTGCCCGTCTGTGTTCTGGCTGGCATGGCTGGAAATTATGCCTTCTCTCAGACATTGAGAAAGGGAGCGGTCTCAGTGATCGATCTCATGAATTGGCTTGCAAATCTATCTCATAAAGCAGATTGAAGCCTGCCCCAAACATAGGTGCCTCTCTCCAACACTAGCATGTTTCTTTGCAAACAACTCTGACACACAGGACATAACTCCATCACATACTTATTTCAATAATCTCCATAATGTGAAATGCTAAATATTCACTGGTACATTCCAGCTTTCCTACAGTATAACATTACATGCCAATCAAGTATATGATCAGAGTCCTATGGAAACACATAGTTGCATCACCAGAAATGTGGCATTTACAAAAGAGTTGTTAGCAGTGGCGTATATACCTATATGGCTATAGGACAAATCCATGGGCTAGGCAAATATTCTGAGCCAGATTCACTGATGGACTCTGGCTGCGTTGCACTTCACTATAATATAAAGCAGCTGTTACTCCGGTTTAATTAGCTGGTTAAACCAGATTTGAGTGATCTGTGTCATCAGAGTAACATAAAACAGCTGGAGACTACTGGTGACTCTGGCCACTGTAGGTCAAACAAAATTTTCACCAAAAGAAAACCAACAAGACTCATAAAGAAACATCCTCATTGCCAAAAGTAATCTGAAGGCAGTACATTATCAAGCAATAGACAGTACACTCAAGGGCCATATACTGCTCTCAATATGCCTTAAAATTAGGATATAAAAAATGTTTAGAGCACTTTTGCACTTTCACTTTGTCAGACATGGATTTCTCTCTCCTGTGTTCTTTATGACCCAAAGCCATGCTTGTTTCCTTTAGCGCCACCAAAACCGGTAACATCAACACAGCCCAACCAACAGAAAATTGCGGTATCAAGGAGTTTAGACCTTAAATGAATGCTCAAACTGGCGGTTTTCTAGATCCATCTCTTCTTGCTAAAATAAAGGAGGGAAGTGGGTTAGGATGGGAAGCAAACTAGTGTTTTTCTAATACACTTTACTCTAGTGCAAAGGTCCACTAGGCCCTAAATATCTTTGGGGGAAGGGCAAAGTCCCCAAACTAATCCACTACTCTGTGGACAAGAGATTTAACGTCCCACTTCTAACAAACAAAGATCTGCAGTTTGTCAAATTTACAACATTTCCTGCTCTGTTGTAAAGTTAAAAAGAGAAGTAGATGTTAACTGTAGCCAGGCCTTCCAAGGTATGTCTACACAGCAAAGAAAAACCCACGGCTCACCCGTGCCAGGCGACTTGGGCTCGTGGCTCAGGCTGCAGTGGGACTGTTTCATTGCTGTGTAGACTTCTAGGCTGGGGCTGGAGCCCGAGCTCTGGGACCCTCTGGGTAGGAGGGTCTGAGTCCGGAAGTCTACACAGCAATGAAACAGTCCCACCAGCCGAGCCCCATGAGCCCGAGTAGGCTGGCACAGGCCAGCCAGGGGGTTTTCTCTATTGTGTAGACATACCCTCAATCTGCACACTGTAATTTGCTTTTCCTGACCCATCAAAACAATGCCCCTAAAATCCTGGGTGCATGGCAGCCAAGGAAATGTAGGAGCGTTTGTATTAATCAAGACTGAATGCTCTGTTTAGCTTGACGGGACACCATATCAATCTAACTGAACTACCATCTTGATGTCTTTTTCGAACACAAAGATAGAAATATTTCTGTAAGAGAGACCAAAATCAACATTATTCTCTGGAGGGCATTACTGGAGGTTAAAGACCAGTCTAAATGAAATAAGGCACTTTAAGCCCCTCCCAGCCTGTAAATCCCGATCCGGTCTATAACTATTAAATAGACTCTCTGTCAGATCTTGTAGCTGAAATAACTTATGACTACATACAAACCTTTAAGGGTGAATGTATTATCCAACTCTTCTAGCCTTTCCTAGAGCAGAACTTTCACATTCTATTGCAAGATACAGCCCATCATAACGTATCAGTCTATCTAAGATTGCTGCATAAATACATAATAAGTATATAGCCACATATAGTAAATGGGTTATACATCATGGCCTACCTGTATTATCACCCAGTAGGTGATAGTAAAAACTCAACATGTGCCACCTTGCAGTGACAGCAGTACCAAAGTATTTCTTGCTCTCTCTATAGGAAGACACTGTAGTGACTCTAGGCACCTGCAACAATGAATGCTGAGTTTCTAATGAGCCCTGTAAAGGATAACAATCATACACGGGTAATATATGCAGACCATATCCTATCCTTCCTCTGGCACAGGATTCATATTGATTTGTACGTGCAGAATACAACATGATGGAAACTGACACATTCTCAATATATAAGCAAGCACTGGCTTTTTGTCCTGTATTTATATAGCACAATAGAGGTTCTAGTCCATGACTGGGGAATCCAGATGCCTCCCCAATACAAAATAATATGGTCACTTATTATCAGCTAGTCCTTGTTATCATCAGTTATAAACAAGCATATTTAATTTTCATTTCAAAATCATAAGGAATTCCTTTCAAGAATTGGTGCTCTGTTACAACTTTGTTACTATTTCCAATCTTGGGTCCACTTTTATTTCTAACCTAGTTTAATAATCAATTACATGTCTACAGCGTTCAAGATTTCAGATTGAAAAGGCTAGAATGAAGGAGCCTCAGTGTTAAATCCTTCAGTAGACACTGTTTTCAAACAGTATATCTAGAAATTCTCTTTACACGTGTTATTCAGGCCTTGACACTTATTCAGTGAGGAATATTTTCTTATCTGATGCACTGAAGCTGCTGATGCTGTTGTGCCTGGCCCCTGGCTGATCAATTTTTCTGTTAACGATAGGTTACTGGTAATTTCTCAATCTTTTATGGAGGTCACTGTATGTTTTTCCCACCTACTATTCCTTACCTTCTGCATGTTGACGTGATGAACTAAACCATTATTTGTGAGTGTGCATATTGGCAATCACTTTACGCTGTCAGTTTTGCCTGTAACAGATCTAGTGAATGCAGAAGGTGGATGCAGATGTTGTTTTGTTCTGTCATGTTTGCCTGTAGTGCCGCTGGTGAATATGGAAGTTGGAGGCAGATGTTGACAAAAGCTGCATCTCTTTCCATGACAACAGTGCACTCCTATACGAGGTTTTAATTCTGCTCTTACGACGAGTGTCTGAAAATTAGTAGCTTTGCAGTAGGCAGTCATGGGCGGTTTTGGTAGGGCCTTTTGTAATGTATCCAAACTCGCAATCAGGGGTAAGTTTCCTTCATTATTTTTGTGTAGTTAAAAGCTGCAGGCTTGGGCTTCACAACAAAAGGAATCCTGTCACAAATTTCATTAATATTTTTTTCTGTAATTAGTGTTCTCCTTGGTAGTACAAAAGATTTTTTGTTTTGTTGTCATGAGGCATATAAGTGCATCTCTGTTATGTTGTCAGTAGGTTTACTCACGGCTGCAGCTGGATTTAATTTTTAAAATCAGGCTGTAAATAATGCTCTGTTTAGTGTAATGTGGATTTGGTCTAATATGTCTTTGTGTATACATTCTACACACACACACACAACAGTATAAGATGGCAACACATCTGGCTCTATGGAGGTGTGTATAGATCTATCTATATTTTTTTCTACTTCCTTGTGTAAATTCCATCAAAAAGGGTCCACTGTAGGAATCTTCTTCTTCCAAAGTGCTCTGTTCAGTGACATATCTTCTATCGCACCTTATGCTAACATGCTTCCTTTATGACATCCCACCACTTCTTGGGTTGGCCTCTCTGTCCTTTTCCTTTAATCTTGATCTGTTGGAGTCTTTTACTCACATAGTTGTCAGGACCGTTGGACTCTTTTACTCACATAGTTGTCAGGACCGCACTTTACATGGCCAAACCATCTGAGCCTGCACTTATGGGTATTATTTCGAGCATATCTCTAACATATACATTCCTCAGATGGTCTTTCCTGATTCACCACTCATCTCTCTCAACATTTTCATTTTGGTGGAATATACCATTTACTCATGTTTCTTCTTTGGTGCCCAACATTTAGAGCCATACGTTAAACCTGGACGGACCACTTTATAGACTTTCCCTTTTAATTTTACTGGTATCTTCCTGTCAGACACTACACCACTTATCTCCGTTTGAACCAGGTGTTTATCATCCTAGCTCTAATTCATCCTCCATTTCCCAGATTCTGGAACACAGATATTTGAAACTTTGCATTTTCACTACTGTCTGCCTATCTAGTTTCAAGGATAATTCCTCTGCTTATTTTGAGCCCATGTCTCTCCAACACATCTCTCCATTTATCAAGATCCTCTTTTAGACTTTCTTCTCACTGCATAGAATATTACCTGCAAACAGCATGCACCAAGGTGCCTCCTTCTGTATGTTCCCTGTGAGGGTCTTCAAGACAAGGATAGACAAGAAAGGGCTCAGTGCTGATCCCTGATGTACTCCCACCTTTACTTGTTTCACTACTAAAAGATCGGACTATTGACATTGCCCCTATATACACGACTTGAACATTCCACTCATTCTTCCACCCATAGACCACCAGATGACGTCTCTTGGAACTCAGCCTTTTCCAGATCAATGAACACCAAATGAATATTTTTCCTTTTCTCTCTAGTTTTTCCCTAGCTGTCTCAATGCAGAAACAGCATCTATTGTCAACCTTCCTGGCGGAAAGCCATATCGATTTGCACTAATATCTGCTTCACTTCTTAGTCTCTTATTGATGACTCTCTCCCACAGTTTCTTTTGTATGACTTATCAGCTTTATACCTCTATAATTTGTGCAGTTGTCAGCATCACTTTTCCCCTTGTATATCGGCACCAAGATACTTTTCCTCTCTGTGTTTGAGATCTTTTCCCATCTCATGATTGAACTGAACAGGGATGTCAGCAGATGGGTACCTTCTTTACAAATGTTTTCCATGCTTCAGCAGGGATTTTGTCTGGACGTAGGGCCTTATTAGTTATTTATTTGATAGTATTTGCCATGTCATCTGGTGTGATCAGCTCCACTACACTAAAATTCATCAATTTGAAGTCGCATTGCTGTCTTGGATTTTCTTCATTTAAAAACTGTTCAAATACCTTTTTCCATTGATTCTTTATGCTACTATCATCAGACAACACCGTATTAGTTTAATCTTGGACGAACCTCACTTCCTTTATATTTTTGGTATTTCTGTTCCTTTCCTTTGCCAGTCTATACACTTTCCCCTCTCTCCTTCTTTTGTTCCAAGTCTTCACTTTTACTTTTGTAGCTACATTCCTCGTCAATTTCTTTACATCTGTGTATTCTTCCAGATCTCATTTGCTCCTACTCCTTTGCCAGAGTTTAAACATTTTTCTTTTATCATGCCTTGTACTTCTTCACTCCAAGTTTCTTTGTTGAATACCCACAAACTTGTTTTGCACTCTCCAATATATTTGTGGCCATAAAACACCCACATTTATCCCCTCCTTCTGCGTGTGGTGTCTAAGGAGTCAGTTATGGAGAAGATGAGGTAATGTCCTCCTTAGCTTTACCTTGTAGTTTTTTGTCATCTTATCTTTGATTTTTCGCTGTACCTTTGTTCTAAGAGAAATATTTAGGTGGTCTATATTGATTAGTAAGACTCTCTCCTGCAATTGCCTTGCAGTCTTTTATAGCTTTTATTTTCTGCTGAGAAACAAGCAAGTAATCAATTTGGCTTCTAGTCCTTCCATTCTTGTAAGTAATAAGATGTTCATCTCTTTGTGTAAAGAATGGGTTGGATACTACTAGGTCATGAGCTTGTGCCATCTGGAATATGTTTTCTTTTGTCATACAATTTTCAATAGCCCAGCCATATGCCTCCTTCCCATCCCAACAAGGTTTGTCTCAGCTTGGGGGATGTGTGTGTGTGTGTGTGTGTGTAGATGTATCTGTATATATTGGGTTGTATGTGTACATACCATATGTATTATATATACAAACATGCACACATACTTTTCCATAGAGCCAGATGTGTGACCATCTGATGCTGCAGGCTTCTCTCTCTCTTCTCTTATGGAAGTTTGCAGTCTGTGTCTGATGCCGGCATCAGGCTCTATGAAAGTTTATTTATGTTTCATTAATGTAGCTCAAACACATTAAACTACACTAGCAGGATCATAATTTAATATAAGTGCAAAGTGCTAATGCAATAATGCATGCATATTGGATTAGGAAATGAAAGCTGTTACAAGTCATTTTAGTTCATTTGTAACAATGCCTGAGACTGAGAGACCGATGTGGCAAGAACAACCGAAAGAGAGATTTGGGGTTTAGTGAAATTTCCCAAATCTCACCCCAGGAATGCTGTGGAGAAGCAGTACAAGGAAGGCTGGAAGCTTGATACTACAATCCTTTCCTAGGACACCTTACACAGCAACATGATTGCTGTCTATGGGGATTACCACACCACTGTTCCTTGACCTTTTCTAACCTACATTGATGTAGCTGTGAATGGACATGTGCAAGGGCCTTCACTTACCTTGTACGTTAGCCAGCATCCTCATTCTCTCTCTCTCTCTCTCTTGCTTTTATATACATATTCCTTGCCACCTTCAGATTTTTTTCTCTTGTAAAGGCTTCACTGGAGGCTCCTGCTTTCTGGATCATCTACAAGCTTCAGTTTGCTGCTGCCTCCTTTGAAGGCTTGCTCAGGTCATTCTGGGACAGCTTGGTTGGCTATATAAAGCCATAGCTTCCCCAAAACTTTATTACAGCAGTAGACAGGGACAGAGACACATCACCGAGAACCTACCTGAATGAATGTAGGCATCTGCCTGCAATATGAACTTCTATTGCTGAAACCTTAGGGTTGCTTTGAAGCACAAAACAAGAGAGGTTTCTTTAAAAAATGCATTTTTTCCCGAGTTTTTTTCTCTTTCCTTTTAAATGAAACTAGCTGTGTTAGATAAAAATATCAAAGCTTTGTCTCCCCCATCCTTCACCACCAAAAAAACCCAATAAGGTATTCTGTACAACTAAGGACATGGATTCAGTTGCTTGGATTTCATTGTCCTTTAATGAAATCCCTTTAGAAATTGTGAATTCTAGTAGCCTTCCTTCAGTCTTATTCCTCCTTCCCATCCCATCCCAAGAAGGTTTGTCTCAGCTTGGCCCTTTGACAGATATTGCTGGGTGAATGATTCAGAGTGAATCACTTCTTCAAAACATTTAGTCCCTTTTATTTTTCTATGTCAATAATTATCCCTGGATGGGCTTTGATTTTTGCTAATATTTTGTTATTATCAAAACTGTTAGACAAAACCTTCATGGCCATAATTTTCAGAGGGGCTCATGACCCACCAGTGAGATCAGATTTTCCAAAGTGCTCATCACTCTGCTACACCCATTGTTCTTGGTGGAGGTTCATGGGTGCCACGTTGTTTTGGAAATCTGGCCCCAATTTTGGCTCCTGAGTCATTCTGAAAGTCTGGCCCTGTGTGACCAGATATAGGTTGCTTGTGAAATACTTGCTATTTATTAGTTGTGGTGTGTGATTAGTCACTGAAGGTCACAAGGCGTTTTTTTGTGTTCCCTGGTGGGAAGATTGAAACTCTTATAACCAGGGGTAGAGAAATCCAAAGAGATTCCAAGGTGGCTATGTGAGCCTTTCTGGAATAAACTTTTGTGTAAATACATTTACGCAAATATTCACCAGACTTTCACTTTCTTCAAACATTTTTTGAGGAAAATTGAACTCTTACAAATATTCATGGAAGATAAATACAAAGATCCACAAACTGTTGTCAGAATGAATTGGTGAAAAGATGTTCACAAACTTTTTTCAGCTTTCTCTTAGCCTTAATGACAGGACATTGGGTCCTGCTTACTGACAATATTCTGCCCCATTTACCATTGAGTAGAGAGGTTTACACTCTAATCTACTACTCCGTAAGGGTGGCAGACTTGGGTACGTCTACACAGCAATTAAATACATGCGTCTGGCCCGGCTCAGCTGACTTGGGCTTGCAGGGCTCGGGCTGTGGGGCTGTAGAATTGCTGCGTAGACGTTCGGACTTGGGCTGGAGCCTGAGCTCTGAGACCCTATGAGGGGGAGGCTCCCAGAGCTAGGCTTCAGCCCAAACATCTACAGTGCAATGTATAGCCCTGTCAGCTGACTCAGGACAGCCGTGGCTGTGCTGCCGGTCTTTTATTCCAGTGTAGACGTACTGTTTCCGAAGGGAGTGTCTTTTTTCCCCATCTACTCCCTAAGCCCAATAGCTGTTTTCCAATCTGTGTAACACATTTTTTAGAAACTCTCTCACTGATTTCCTAAATTATGATCCTTATATAATAGAACCTCGCCAGGCTGCATTTTATAAATCTCACACAAACTAAAGCAGGCTCTCGGTCCTCTGTGATAATATAAGTGGAGGAATGCTGTAACGAAGTCTCATATTACAAAAGACTTAATTATGGTTACAAAATATGCTACAGCATTATTTAATAGTATGGTGTGAAAAGTCTTTGTCAAATAAATGAACAAAGTCAATGTTTGATGCCTTCCTTTTAAAATGTTATTCTGCTTACTAATGTGCAAACTGCAATATTTTTCAATTGCTCGCCTAGTCATGAGCGTGAATTAGCACAGTGCTGTTATGATTGGCTCTGTTCTGTCATTTTACTTCCTTTCCAACCCATAGCCCATGCTTAGAGCGTCCACTGGATGAGCAAGTCACTGCATGTTGGTGAACACTATTTTCATGCAAATTGCATGAATGAGTTGTGTTGCATGTTTTTTTTTTAAGATAATATTTGAAAAGTGAGTCTTCTGCAAAGCATAAGAAGTTTTCCAATGGGGTTCTGAAGATAGCAAATCACATCTAAAATGATTCATAACGGATTTCTTCTAAAAATACATCCGTATTAAAAATGAATAAAATGGTATGCTGTAAACTTACACAAGCAAACTGATACAGAGAAACAGGGGGAACAAATTCATTCTGCTTAAGGCCAACTTCTGCTCTCAGATGTGCATGAATATGTCTCACTGAAGACAATATGTGCTGCATGGATCCAAGGACAGAATTTAGCTCAGGTGCGCTGGAACAATTTTTATAGTGGAGGTGCTGGGAGCCATTGAACTAAACCGTAAACCCTGTATATAATGGAAACCACTTCAAGCCAGGTGGTGTGGCAGCACCCCTAATTCCAGCATCTATGGCTATAACCCTACAAATTAAATTTTATGATTAACAAAAAGGCTGGGAAATTAAATACCGGGGCATCTTGTGTTACTTCAATGTCTTTTTTTAGGCTATCTTTTTTGAAAAAAACTATTGTTGATAAAGAAATTCAGTCAAATAATTAGCAAGGACTCTATATATGGAATCCACTTCAAGACTAAACACACACAAACAATTTACTTTTAAGTTAGCCGTCATTAAATGCTACCATCAAGGTAAGGGAAGACCAGAAATGTATCAACCCCAGAATTACAGAAATATATCTTAACAGAAAATTCTTCTCGTACAACTAATTAATTAAACTTATCCATTCATCCTGCTATCTTTATTTATATAATGTCTTGCATATTTCTGGTTAAATCCCTGCTCAGTAATCGCTCAGGTTTGAGGGGACACGCTTGTATAATAAAATAACTGGGCCTAAAACTGACAATATTCAGTAACAAATTTCCTGGCATATGCTTTTCTAAGTACTACTACAGATTCAAACAATTAAGAAGTCAACTCACTCAGATAAGAGTATCTGGATACAATATACTGTACAATTTTGCCAAGAATCGCTATGGGTGCAATTAATTGTTTTGCATTTAAGAAAGATAAGCGAATGAATTATGATATGCATGTCAGCGGTGTTTAAATAAGCATATGCACACTATCGTACAGAAATCACAGATGGATATGCCAAGACCTCCCTTTAGTCTCATGGAATAAATAGTCTCTGCTGGAATTTGATAAGTACCTTTCCCAGTGAAATACTGGCAGCTTCCAAGACTTTGTGGACCAGATCTTTAGCTGATGTTAATTATTGTAGCTGGTGTTAACTGACTTCAGTGGTGGTATGGAGATTTATACTAGCTAGAATCTGGCTCTCTATAATTATTTCACAATAGAAATTCAATCTTTTCAGTTTTAAAATATAAAGGGAACATCTATTTTTGGATGTAACAATGATAAACCTTATAATACCAATTTGTTTAGTGGAATCTAATAGAAGGAAAATCTCCATGACAAGTCAATTTGAAATGTTTTTTTTTTCAGTTGTGAGACTTAAAATCCTTGTAAAATCATAGGATTTATTGGTCACTGGGGTTCCTTTAGTCTCAGAATGTAATTGTCCGATGGCAATGAACATACAGTATCAAGAGGAGGCATGATTAAAACTCAGAGCCATCTGACCTTAAAGTGCACTTGACAAACTAAGGGGAGGAAGACAAGCATCTACGGAACCAATTTTTCTAGGTGATTAGGTTCTTTGTAGTCCAACAATGGGCAACAGCGCGCACAGACACAAGCAAATGAGTCACATACTCACCCCATATCTTGAGCACAAACAGAATATCAGGGAGTCAGAGGAGCTCAGTCTAAGACCACGGCACCATCAATCTGTAATGATTCAAGCCTATATACAGTACACACACACACACACACACACTAAAATACCAGCAGGAAGTATCTGATTACAAACTCAGGACACCTATTCCCCAAAACTTGGGCCTCTACCCGGTAAGCTAATAGAGCTGTTCCATTAGCTTAGCTAGTAGAAAAAGCTGTCATGAGTGAGTAAGCTCCATCATATTGCACCATAAGTCAATGACACATGCATATCTCATTCCATGATACACCTTGCATCTGTTCCTTGTTGCGATAGCTTCTATCTTTCCCCAAATATTTCCTCCTTTAAAGGAAAAACAAAACAGTTTTGAAAAGGCTGTTTAACGTCTCCTCTTGACATTAAAAAAACAAACAAACCAATGTTCATATTTTATGCATTAAAACTAGAGATGAGCCTGAACCAAAAATCTGGATCCAAACTGCTTCAACCTTTGTGAATGTTTGGATCCAAATCCAAGTTTCAGTCTGGCTCTCTAGTCCTATCTTGGGCTGAAGTAAAATCGTGGATCAGAACACTCTAAGATTTTGAAGAAGTCTGGATCCAAATCTGGATTTGAACTTGGGTTGGGCTCACCTTTAATTAAAATGTACATCCTCGTATCCAGCTCTCTGAGTTGCACTATTGGAATAGGAAAAGTCAATTACAATAATAATACGCTGCTGTTCAATATTGTATTTCATTTGAAGATCTCAGTGTGCTGCACAAACAGTGCAATGTTAGGAATAAAAGGGTTGTAATCCGTCTTAAATTAGATCACAAGACTTCACTGCAGCCCTTACCGTATACAGTGTGAAATCCATGCTAAAGCCAAGCAGTAATCAATGAACAACATAGTGGGCCAAGTTCATTCCTGGTGTAACTCCACTGGATTGTGTAGAGTTACACCAGGAATGAATTTCAGCCTCCTGTGTTTGAGTTTCATACCAATCAATCAAAAGAAAAAAACAGCATGTAAATATTTTTAACACTTGCATTAGCATCATAATGGCTCCCCTATTCAGCACCGATACCATGCCAACACCGAGCAGTGTCATTACATTGGACACCTCCACTGACATTACATTAGCTCCTTTGTAGCTGACACAATGTTAAGAGAAGTTCATTGCTACCGTTATTGTGCTAGTTGACGTCTAGGAAATACTTCAACTCTGTTCTTAATGTACAGGCTCTTCAATCTTTGACTACCTTGCGAGTTTCTGATCAATACATAAAAGATGGGCTATGTTTTGAGAGGGACATTGTTTTACATACTTATTTGATGTCATAATAAGAACCTGGCATTAAAATAATGTAGATACTTGCAAAATTCAATCTGTCAGCCTGGGGCAGGGAAGGGGATTATAGACTTTAGAGAGAGAAATGGGAGAAAATGCAGGTAAAGATTTGTCTTTAACCATATATAATACAAAATGATGTATTGGTACCTGCAATATGTACATATGCAGGGCTGTGGTTCTCTTTTGGGGTTCAGGAGACAACTTGAGCTTTGCTTTAAGGGTGTGTGATGTCAACAGAATCCCTCAAAAGCATTACAGTTAAATTTAAGTTACAGTAATGATTACAGTAATATGGACACTAACTGATTAGCTTTTGCAAAAGATGAGTTGTCCAAAGTAACTTAAAGTTCTTTGCTAAAATCCACACTGTAAAAACTGTGCTACCTTCTGCACAGTTGGGCATATATTATTTATATTTTAATGCCAAAACACACCAGCCAGTGGTATTAAGTGCCTGCAAAATATCACCATTGGAAATGAACACTTTTAAAATAAAAAATCTTTTTTTGACAACTCTAGAAGTAATAATTTAAAAACCCTAGCTTAATCTGCTTTGAGGTTCTTTCTCCCTCCACCTCTCCAAGGAGAAAGTATACATCTGGCCTGAGAACTGGCTTGGCCCACATTCTATTCCCAGGGGACTTACGCTGCTGAGTGACAAATCCCTGATGATTGAGGTTTATAGCTGAAATAACCATCCAGCCCTTAACCCCAAACATTACAATAAACAACAAATAAATAGGAGAGAGATTTGTGATTCATGGTTAAAAAGGACAAATCAAAGGTTCTCCTCATTTCCATTTTCTTTTCCTTTATCATGGAATAACTGAACTGCTTTTCTAGCATTTACTAACAAAGGCTTGAGTATTTGTTAACAGAGAGCATTATTTCCTTTAAATGATGCCTGAGCAAATACAAAAATAGAAAGATGACCTTGCCCTTACTATTTATTACCTTTGTAAAAAAAAAAACCTGTTTTAGATTTCTCAGAACTTTAAATATTAGTTGGCGGTTTGTAGTTCAGGCAACTGGTGAAGCTGCATTGTACAAAGAAATCTCTTTCATGGGGTAGAGGCAGACAATACAGTGTTGGATGCTGGGAGGAAAATGAACATTTAATATACTTGCACTCCTAATGTTATATAAAAGGTTGCTTGAGGGACAAGAATGAGAACTAAGAAGCCTATTAAAATCCATACTCTTTTCCAGGCTGGTGATGAGTACTGAAGAACTGGAGTGATTAAATTAATCTGAATTTCAGTCTTTTCTTTCCTTTTATTACACAACTGCTTTTGCTAATATCCCAGATGACTGAAGTAACAGATTAATTCACTAACTAGCCAGATGTAATCAACTTTTATTAATAAAACACAATAGTAATTTGCAATAATTGTCCAAAACTCTGCAGCTTACTAAAAATACTGCAGTATTTTGGACCAATACAAAAGCATTTTATTTGAGAGATTGCATGTTATAGTTCCAATCTGAATACTTTTCAGAACAAAAAGACATTTTGAATGAATTTTGTTGGCAATTCCTGCACTCCGTATGATCAGCAATGTCATGGTAATGATAATACCTAGCCCAGTCCAGCTTCCCTATGCAAATTACACAGGTAAATGCAAACTAGGGCTGTCAATTAATCGCAGTTAACTCTTGTGATTAACTCACAAAAATTAATCGCGCTTAAAAAAATTAATCGTAATTAATCGCAGTTTTAATTACACTCTTAAACAATAGAATACCAATTGAAATGTATTAAATATTTTGGATGCTTTTCTACATTTTCATACATATTGTATTCTGTATTGTAATTAAAATCAAAGTGTATATTATTTTATTAAAAATATTTGCACTGTAAAAATGATTAACAAAAAAAATAGTATTTTTCAGTTCACCTCATACAAGTACTGTAGTGCAATCTCTTTGTTGTGAAAGTGCAACTTACAAATGTAGATTTTTTTTGTTACATAACTGCACTCAAAAAGAAAACAATGTAAAACTTTAGAACCTACAAGTCCACTCAGTCCTACTTCTTGTTCAGCTAATGGCTAAGACAAACAAGTTTGTTTACATTTACAGGAGATAATGCTGCCCTCTTCTTATTTACAATGTCACCAGAAAGTGAGAATTGCCATTTGCATGGCACTTTTGTAGCCAGCATTGCAAGGTATTTATGTGCCAGATATGCTAAATATTCGTTTGCCCCTTCATGCTTCGGCCACCATTCCAAAGGATATGCTTCCATGCTGATGATGCTTGTTAAAAAAAATAATGCGTTAATTAAATTTGTGACTGAAGTCCTTGGGGGAGAATTGTATGGCCCCTTCTCTGTTTTACCCGCATTCTGCCATATCTCATGTTATAGCAGTCTCAGATGACGACCCAGCACATGTTGTTCATTTTAAGAACACTTTCACTGCAGATTTGACAAAATGCAAAGAAGGTACCAATGTGAGATTTCTAAAGATAGCTACAGTATTCAATCCAAGGTTTAAGAATCGGAAGTGCCTTCCAAAATCTGAGAGGGATGAGGTGTGGAGCATGCTTTCAGAAGTCTTAAAAGATCAACACTCCGAAGTGGAAACTACAGAACCCGAGCCACCAAAAAAGAAAAATCAACCTTCTGCTGGTGGCATATGACTCAGATAATGAAAATGAACGTGTGTCGGTCCGCACTGTTTTGGATTGTTATCGAGCAGAACCCGTCATCAGCATGGACGCATGTTCCCTGACCTGGAATGGTGGTTGAAGCATGAAAGGACATGTGAATCTTTAGCGCATCTGGCATGTAAATATCTTGCAATGCTGGCTAGAACAGTGCCATGAGAATGCCTGTTCTCAATTTCAGATGACATTGTAAACAAGAAGCGGGCAGCATTATCTCCTGCAAATGTAAACAAACTTGTTCAGCCAATCGCTAAGACAAACAAGAAGTAGTACTGAGTGGACTTTTAGGCTCTAAAGTTTTACATTGTTTTATTTTTGAATGCAGTATTTTTGTACATAATTCGACATTCATAAGTTCAACTTTCATGATAAAGAGATTTCACTATAGTACTTGTATTAGGTGAATTGAAAAATATGATTTCTTTTGGTTTTTTATAGGGCAAATATTTGTAATAAAAATAAATATAAAGTGAGCACTGTACACTTTGTATTCTGTATTGTAATTGAAATCAATATATTTGAAAATGTAGAAATCATCCAAAATATTTAAATTAATGGTATTCTATTATTGTTTAACAGTGCGATTAATCATGATTAATTTTTTAATCGCTTGACAGCCCTAATGCAAACATAATTGTTAATCACTTAGTTTTGTGAGGAAGTGGTCAATAATATGGACACTAACTGATTAGCTTTTGCAAAAGATGAGTTGTTCAAAGTAACTTTTAGTTCTCTGCTAAAATCCACACTGTTAAAATAATGAGTGAAGTCCTGGCTCCACTTGATGGCATTTGGACCCAATATCTGTTTAACTAGTGCAGCAAATACAATTTTATTCCCTTCTATCTAAGATATTTACAACGTGACAGTCTCTGTAGTATTAAAGATTACGTTCTAGTCTAGGTTACGTGCCATTGAAATTGCTTTTTTAAAAGCTACATTTACATTTGGAAATGAATCCTTTCCAGACCACCACACACTTCAGTTGTGCAAGCAGAGACTGCTATCCTGTGCAGGCAATGCATCTCCTATTTCTAGTCACAGGTACTGCAATTTCCAAGTACTTGTAAAATGTTTCCTGCCAGAAGGGTGTCACAGGAGAATCAGTCCTTAGTGTTAAACACAATCTTGCTGCTGTAATAAGTGCTTTACCCTCATCTACTGAGCCTCGTTAGCAATTGGTTTTACAACCAAACTTACTTTTCTTTCTTACTTACTTTTCTGAGCTACGGGTAACCTAAGGTAAGATGTATCTCTCCTCTGGAATCCAGTCCAGCTCCCACTGGCCACTGGAGAGGCCAGCTGTGTATGCTGGTACTAGACTGCTATGCCCATCTTAAGCCAGCAAAAAAGGGCTAAGGAGAATTGATCCTACAGACTTCAAGACTTTTGCTGTTCGCTGTTTTGCCCTTATAAAAGGGTCTCTTAAAAATACAACAAATAGCCTCAAATCACTGAACTATGAACACCTTGTGCTCAAAGTGTTAATGCGTGATCTGAGCTCAGATGAACACTTCCTAACTTAATGCACCCCTGGCAGGGCCAACACTACTGGAGCCTCTATCTCAGGGGTCGGCAACCTTTCAGAAGTGGTGTGCCGAGCCTTCATTTATTCACTCTAATTTAAGGTTTCGCGTGCCAATAATACATTTTAACATTTTTAGAAGGTCTCTTTCTATAAGTCTATAATATACATAAATAAACTATTGTTGTATGTAAAGTAAATAAGGTTTTTAAAATATCTAAGAAGCTTCATTTAAAATTAAATTAAAATGCAGAGCCCCCGGACCGGTGGCCAGGACCTGGGCCGTGTGAGTGCCACTGAAAATCAGCTCATGTGCCGCCTTCAGCACCCGTGCCATAGGTTGCCTACCCCTGCTCTATCTGTTAGTTAAATAAGGATCCCGAGTTTGATTAAACTGTACATGACGAAAATAAGACCGTGTCTCATTTAAAAAGCTACTGCGCGAGCAAGCGGCTTTTTTCGTGATTATTCAGATGGTTCTAATCTGTGTTCTTTTTTTGCCTTGATAAGTCAAATAACAGCCTTGCCGATTACTCTTCACTAAGGTACCCGATTGTGGTGACATTGAGGCTGACCTTGGAGTCACCTCCCCCGCTGCCGCACTCTCCTTTGTCGTACCACCATTTGTTTTTCAATTTGTCCAAGAGGCCTTGCTCATTCAGTTTTAATACTGCCAGGTTAACAGCATTTCTTGAAACGATAAAACATAACTCGTAAGAAAATGCACAAACGCTTAAGAAATCGTAACGTATAAAAAAAGGAGCACAAGAGGACAAATTGGCTAAATTTCACAGAACGTGGAGCCATAAAAATGTTTCTACAGCAAATACAGGGTTAAATATTGGAAGGTGGCATGGAGGATAACATTTGCTCAGAACTGAAGTGTGCGGGATGGGGAAATTGGCTTTGAGGAAAAAAAGGAACAAGAACACCACACCATGCAATTAACATTCGTCACATATGGCAGTTTAACTTGGCTTTTACCATTTAAATTGAAAAAGCCATTGAACTGTAAAATTAAAACAGCAACAAACAATCAGAAAGGACAACACAGAGAGAACATTAAAAAATGGATGCATTAAGTAAATGAAACCATAATTTACCGTCTTATTTTACTCCATGGAATATTGAAGATTTTAAACTTTAAAGTTACCTCAAAATCCACAAGAAAGAAAATGACAACACAATACATCAGGGTAGGTGGAATACTATAACAACATATATATTGTTATATTATTCCACCCACCTTAATGCTGAGCCTTTTGGAGTTGCTACACCATAGCCTTTGGAATCCAGGTTCCCACCAACTTTCATTGTGTCACATGGCTTTCGCTGCTCGATATACTCGTTCATGGTCGATTCAAGGAGGAAGGCAAACTTTCCCTTTGACTTCCGCACTCTAGCGACCCCGTCAGCTGTTGTTTTGGTAAATACAGATGGCTCTGCTGACTTCATATACGACCACATTTTCTCATAGACTGCTATTTTTGATCTCTGAGAAAGATAACAGAAAGCAGACAAAGGCATTTTTTATTAAGTACGCACATTGCGCAGTATGTAAGTGTTGTGCTGTCAAAGTCTACATAATACAGATTAGGTTGCAATTGACTGAAGAGAACTGTCAATAACTATGGTTTTGTGGACTGTGCCCAGCACAAAGGGGCCCTGAACTGGTTAGCCTCTAGCTGCTAACACACTATGTATGCTGAATAATAATAAATGCAGCAGGTGAAATTAGCTAATGGAGAACAGTACTGGCCCCTAAACAATTACCAAACACAGCAAGAAGTTAGGAAAAAAGTGGTAGGCAAGAGAGAAATGTAGCTGAGACATTTCTCTTGCTAACTGACATTTAATTGGCAGTTTAACATTCAAAATGAAAAACAGTGCATTCCATCCCAGTCCCTTGATCTTTCTGCTTGCGTGCGTGCTGCTGTAAGATCGAACCAGATAAAAAATATTAAATCCTAGCTCATCTGTTATGGCTAATACATGCAAATGAAGGTCCTCTACTTTTCCACACAAATCATTGCTATCCGTTTATTTGATTCTATAACACACCACTGGTGAACCATAGACATCTGCTTATTAAAGAACGCTCAAGAAGACAAGAATTTGCTTCTCATAGTGGTGATGTAAGGTTTAGAACTGCAGCCAAGCAGGGCCGGTGCTTCCATTTAGGCGACCTGTCACCTGGGCGGCAATTCGGCGGCGGGGGGGTCCTTCCGCGCTCCGGGTCTTCGGCGGCAATTCTGCAGTGGGTCCTTCACTTGCTCCGGGACCCGCCGCCGAAGTGCCCCGAAGACCGGGAGTGCGGAAGGACTCCCCCGCCGCAGAATTGCCGCTGATGGCCGGGAGCGCGGAAAGATCCCCGCCTAGGGCGTCAAAAACCCTGGCGTCGCTCCTGCAGGCAAGAGACGACAGTAGCTCTACTGGGCTATTAAAAGATGAGGCTACCCATCTGGGAGATATGTACAGTGATTACAAAGACTTTAGTAAACACTGATCGACTTTTTTTGTTCAGATAGTTTCAAATTTTGCTGAAAAATAACAAGTAAGAAGCTGAGAGTCTACATTACACTCTCTTGCTCTCATTAAAGTGAAGAGCTCAATAGACCACAGGCTATTTTATTATAACCAGCTGCTGGTTATGCATTTTTTAAGTGCATGTTGATTTGTTCAGTTTGGAGACAGCCAAACATAATGATCCTGGCTCTAAGACACATGCTTAGTAACTTAGGGAGGCAGAACAACCTTTAAAACAACAAGTTGGTGTGTTACCTCCCCTTTCTCCTTTCTGTCCGCTCTTCGTGTCGCAACCGTGGATGGCAGAAAACTCCGTGCTAGGGAATCCCCTCATCCCACCCTACACACATTACTATAAACCTTCTTAATGTACCGAGAGTGAAATCAGTAGTATACTGCACCATCACTTAATGTTCCCTGTCTGTCCCACACAGTGCAATAATGCCTGGTTAATTACTGCAAACTCAGGATTTAGTCAGTCTAAGCCATCTAACTTTGTCACATTCCTTGTCAACCCTTATCTGGAATCACTAAAGCTATAACAGTAGGTACCACACACAGTGGTTAAGGTCAGTGCAAACTATTGTGAACTTGTAGCAGAAGACTCTTCATTCGAGCTCAAGTCATGTTTTTTTCTTTTCCTTCAGGACAATTCAGTGTGCTTTGGATAATATAGTGACTAATAACTACTATGTAAACATTTTATAGATAGCAAATCCTGCCTTCATTCCTTGTATTAAAATCCTGATGTAGCTGTGATTGATAGAGAGGAGTATAGGGCCAGGCTTTTATTATAACTATTTCTCCGAGTGAGCTGAAAACCAATTGAAAATACAATGCAATTAAAACCATCATGATACACAACAGAAAATCAGAGAGAAGGCAGAATAGTGTGCCTTCATTAAAAGGTGGGTTGGACACCATACAGTAGTCGAGAGATTAAAAATAAAAATATTTATTGGAGAAAAATAGTTTTTGCAGATGCTTTTTAAAAGTGTGAGGAATGAACTGCAGAGGTACCTAGTTACGGAAGTGGGGTGGTGAAATCAACACCCCATGTGAGGGTGGGAAGGAGCTAGGGTATTAGTCTTGGACCTGGGTCTGATTCCCTGCTTTATCACAGACTTCCTGTGTGACCTTGGGCATGTCACATCATTTTTCTGTGTCTCAGTTCCCTACTTCTGTAACATGGGGATAACACGGCCCTACCTTTCAGGGGTGTTATGGTGATAAATACCTCAGAGGTGCTCACATAGGGGAGCCATATAAGTACCTAGGAGAGACAATAAAAAGCATGACTGCCCACTTTTATAATATATCCTCTTGGTCAAGCTTACAGAATGGGAAGAGACTGTCTAGGAAGGAATACGGCAGAAAGGGATCTAGGGGTTATAGTGGACACTATGAGTTAACAGTGTGATGCTGTTGCAAAAAAAGCAAACATGATTCTGGGATGTATTAACAGGTGTGTTGTGAGCAAGACACAAGAAGTCATTCTTCCGCTCTACTCTGCTCTGGTTAGGCCTCAGCTGGAGTATTGTGTCCAGTTCTGGGCTCCGCATTTCAAGAAATATGTGGAGAAATTGGAAAGGGTCCA